TTCATTTCAGATTAGCAAAAGTAAGTTTAAAAGGCGCAGTGTCCCCAGTCTTTAAGGTTTTCTTAAAATTATCTTTTCTATCACTTTTGTTTTATCCAATTGTTTAGCACCGGATCAAATTATTTATGGTCTCTATTCATCCCATAGTTTGTTAGCTAGATTCCATGTTCTAAACCCACTATAAAAAGATTTCTAGAAATGTAATGGAGTTAATGAATGCAATATGATTTCTTTAAAAATGGTCTTAAAAAAGTGGGCTTCACTCTGGAGTTCTACACTAAAAAGTAGGATGTAGCCCAGGGCAGCTGACTGAAGGCCAGGATATGATGAATTGTTTTACGCCCAGATAACGTTTTCCAACAGTGAACGTTCTAAGATCATTTCTAACTCTGCTCTTCTCACCCTTCCCTCTGTCGTGCAGGTTTGCGAAGCTCCTCCTCCGGCTCCCTGCACTGCGCTCCATTGGTCTGAAGTGCCTGGAGCACCTGTTCTTCTTTAAGCTGATCGGCGACACGCCTATCGACACCTTCCTGATGGAGATGCTGGAGGCGCCTCACCAGCTCACCTAGAGGAGCCAGGTTCGGTCCCTCAGGATCCGATGCACACCAGGATCACCAACACGCCCCCCCCACATCGGGTCTACGGCTCCTCCACGAGCCTCGCTTAACTGCAGCAGCTGCTGGTTTTAATGTACCGGCTCTCACACACATAATCCATGTCACTGACTTATTATCATCACACACACATGCAGATATTAACTTGCATCAATTGACATGCAACGAAAACAATATAATGCTACCACACATACACACACTCTTTTAACTGTTATCCCTCCTTTTCCATACTCAGTTTTTCACCATAGGGGTTATGAATCAAGGAATATATCCCCCCTTCTTGTCACACATAGTAAATGTCTTCATCTCACTGTGGGTTTTTGCTTCTGCGTAACTGGTAAACTTTCCCCATTTTCACTTCGGTAATATCTTACACTGCTAGCTGCACCTCTATATATTCTGTCCTTCACTATCCGGTTAGTTGTTCATGTATGGTTTTAGCTTAACATACGGTGCTTAGCATTTCAATCAACTGTCCATCATCATCACTTCTGATTGGTCAGGAGGTGTCCTTTAACGATCAGCCAGACTTAGCCTCCCAGTGAGTTCATCCAATCCCGTAAATATTGAAATATTATTTGTATGCTTTTTTATATATATATATATATATGTATATATATATATATATATATATATACATATATATATTCATGCTGAAACTNGCTCTCTTTTCCTCTCTCCCTCTCTCTCTCTCCCCTGACAGCCCGTCAGTATCGTCTCATGCAGCCTTCACTGTCGGGTCACTCATTACTGGATCAGTGAGCTGCATGAGACGATACTGACGGGCTGTCAGGGGAGAGAGAGAGAGGGAGAGAGGAAAAGAGAGCGCTTCCGCTCATTTCTCCCGTGTTATTATCCAAAGTTAATGTAAACTTGAATAATGTACTTCATTTGAATGTAATAATTATGTT